TTCTGTTTACCACCTACATCTTAGTATTTATCTATTAAGTGTTGAACATGTTTCTGTTTACCACCTACATCTTAGTATTTATCTATTAAGTGTTGAACATGTTTCTGTTTACCACATACATCTTAGTATTTACCTACCAACTGTTGAACCTGTTTCTGTTTACCACCTACATCTTAGTATTTATCTATTAAGTGTTGAACATGTTTCTGTTTACCACATACATCTTAGTATTTATCTATTAAGTGTTGAACATGTTTCTGTTTACCACATACATCTTAGTATTCATCTACCAACTGTTGAACCTGTTTCTGTTTACCACATACATCTTAGTGTTTTGTTTCCAGTTTATAAAAATTAAATAATAATTTGTCGTCTTTTCATTTACGAGCTAACCCATATTTCCTCTTATTTTCATCATTCCTACCCCTGTCTTTTTCTTCCTTTATTAGTGTTAGAAAACTACAGTAAAGAGCGTTATATAATTTTACATCTGACAACAAGTTGCTTGTAAGACGCTACCACACACACACGTCAATACCAGTACCAACAGTAGGTGTTGATAGGTCTCACAAAACAACCGGGCTGTATGATCAACTAACATAGAACATGGCTTTAAATATCCCGGGTATTCCAAATTGTTTTGATTAAATCATCCACATTAATCGTGATTTTTTGAAAAAAAAAATCAAACAGATTTCTTTACCTAACTAAATATTTTGATTACAGTCAATAAAAATAACAATGTGCGAAAAAAAAATTGCTAAAGCTATTTTAATCAAAGCAAAACCGGGTACATTGCTCCTGCTTTTTGCATGACATTTCGTTTTATAAAACAAAATTCCCTACCTTTTGGTGTCCAGATTTCTGCTGTGTCGTCAAGTGTCGTTTGCAGCGTATTCTGACTTTATTATAGTTCCATTTGATGAAGGATTGATTTATTCTCTTCTCGTTGCAACACAACATGAATGAAAACTTGCCGATACAAACGTTTTTGTAAAGTCATCGTATAGCTGATTCTTGCGAGTACACGTAAGCAAAACAAACGATACGAGTGAAGAAAGCCTATTTAGTTGAGGGAGTGTGCGCACATGTTCGAGAGAAAGCTCCAGTCTTTTTCAGTTAAGGGGAGTTAGAGAGTAGGCATGTATGTGTAGAAGAAAGAGAGAAGGAGGGAAAGCACACAAATGAAGGCTCCACGAAGTTTTTAAATCTTTTTAAACAAATAATTGAACATGGAGAGAATGATTAGAAGTCCTCACACAGAGAATAAACGTAAATAATAGCCCTCTTGATCACACATTACCCACAAAAATCAGGCCCTTTTCAAATTGAGGTCAATTGGTCGTCCTGTTTGCCAAAAATTGCTATATTGATCACTTTGGCCTCAAAACGGCCTCTGAGGCCACGGCGACATAACCCATGTTACTTCCCGCACAAAGTTGTATCTGATGTTGGAGTTTGTAGCTTTAAAGATGTGGCAGTGCATAAGGAACAAACACACAGAGAGAGAGACACACACACACATTCGCGCTTATTTTTACAGATACAAGGCTTTCAATGACGTCATACTTTATACTATACTGTCTCTGACCTTGTAAATTATAACACAATATTTTATTTGTAAATCCTCGATCTTCTTATTAGATGAATTTTTGTTTCTTTGTCTGTATTTGTTTTCACTTCAAAGTTAACCATTTGTTTAACTAGCGAACACGTGGACCTGTGGTCCACATTTACAGGGCCACTATAATGCATATTTGATGTTTCAACTGCTACGGAGTTGGGTGAAAAGTTTTACCTTTGAGCAAATCTCGGGGTCTAGACAATTCGTTTGGTACCAATTAGAAGTCGGTAAATCCAGCAGTTTAGAAAGAGTTACGTGACACACAGACACTGAATCTTATCATATATATATACAGTATATTGTTTGTTACATCATAGAATTACCATAGATCTTCGTATAGTCAGAAGTAGTCCCAACTTTTACGTTATTAATTTCATCTTGTGTTGTTATGGTAACCATACAATGCTGTTTCAGTTATTTCGTTTGAAATGTAGTTTTGAGCTTGACCAATAGGGAATCGCATCATGTCAGTTAAACTAATCGGTGGCAGCGAGCTAGGCTCAATCCCTTACAGATATTAGGCCTACTTGAAAACTGTTGTAATTAAAAACAACTATATAGTTAGATAGTTGTACATATATTTAACAAACGTAGTCATGTCATTTACAATACAAAAACTGACGTGCATGTTGTAAATCTGTAGTCAGTAACTTGCTTTATTAAACTCCATAAAATGTACTTATACATACATACATAATTAGTTACGCCTCGCGACAGATTAGTTCAGCAGCGTACTCTTTCATCGCACGTGTCTGTACAAAACTTTTGCCTGTTGGCATTTCAATCTTTTTATTTTTAGTTTGCTGGTCTGTAAACTGTCTGTTACATCTTTCTGCCGAGTCCATCAACGAGTAATTGAACGTTGAAAATGGAACGATTGGTCTCGAGAAAGACGCGAATTTCTGGTTCGTTATTCTGGCTAATAACTAGAGAAAATTGAGACGCTGTTCAAATGACAGACATATTTTCTCCGGTTCTGTTCGACCTCCCATCTCCTCTGTGATTTGTAACCCTAAGATCATTCTACTGACAGATGTTCAGAAGGAACAAATTCATACCGGAAATAGACTTCTGGTTTTTGTTCTTCAGTAATGTTTCCGACCCAGGGATGTGATGTGAAAGCCAACGAATTCTTTATTTTTTTCCCATCCATAATGCCATAACATGTCGTGCGTGCATTATGTCTGTACCCCCCAAGGAAGGAACCTACAAAATGTTTTTGTTTTTCATAACCTCTTGCCCGAATCGTTTGAAATCAAGTGAGAAGGTTGATGATGTCAATCAAGATGACACACCAACGAATTTAATGCTGTAAAACACTCAAAATAAGCCAGATAAAAGGTGTATAAAGTCTACAGGTCAAGCCAATATATACGTAATGACGAAAAGTAGCTTTGTATCATATAAATTACTGTTTTTTGTAACCGAAGAAAAGGCGAAACTTGTTAACAATGAATTTTAAAAAGCTAGTTACTTTCCATGGTTTTACAGTTTCACATAAATCGTCAACATTATTAAAACTAAACCACGCAAAAATATACAATTCCACATAACTCGTCAACATTATTAAAACTAAACCACACAAAAATATACAATTCCACATAAATCGTCAACATTATTAAAACTAAACCACACAAAAATATACAATTCCACATAAATCGTCAACATTATTAAAACTAAACCACACAAAAATATACAATTCCACATAAATCGTCAACATTATTAAAACTAAACCACACAAAAATATAAAATTCCACATAACTCGTCAACATTATTAAAACTAATCCACACAAAAATATACAATTCCACATAAATCGTCAACATTATTAAAACTAAACCACACAAAAATATACAATTCCACATAAATCGTCAACATTATTAAAACTAAACCACACAAAAATATACAATAATTCCTAAGCCTCGTCGAAAGTATATTTTGTAACTTTTAAGTTCTTCTTATTGTTTAGCGTGGTTGTTAGGGCGCTCGGCCCTTTCAGCAGTGAGGGCATTGTAATGTTACGGTCAATCCCACTATTCGTTGGTAAAAGAGTATCCCAAGAGTAGGCGGTGGATGGTATTGCCTTCCCTCTAGTCTATCACTGCTAAATTAGGGATGGCTAGTGCAGTTAGACCATCTTGTAGCATTGCCCGAAATTCAAAACAAACCAAACCAAGCTTAGAAAAAATTTTCAAATTTCATGTCTAATTCACTGACTAAAGGATTATAAGTCTCATATATATACTATCGACGTTGGTCACAAAACTGGCACGGTTTAATTTAAATTTTGTTGTAAACCTTCTAACGACTAAAGTAAAATACAAAATCGTAATACGTTTATATATACACATTAAACACCTAGCGTAAAAAAATAAATAACTGTCTTATAAGTTTGATACTCCAGTACAACCTGAGCTAAATACTGGCGCAAATGCAAAAAGAAGGTAGAAGCACGGCCAAAGTATGGCCAAACGAAGTTGTAAGTAAAATATAAAACCTTTATAATAAATCTGCCTTCTTAGGCTTACAGTAAACATATATAAACCTGCCTTCTTAGGCTTATAGTAAACATATATAAACCTGCCTTCTTAGGCTTATAGTAAACATATATAAACCTGCCTTCTTAGGCTTATAGTAAACATATATAAACCTGCCTTCTTAGGCTTATAGTAAACATATATAAATCTGCCTTCTTAGGCTTATAGTAAACATATATAAACCTGCCTTCTTAGGCTTATAGTAAACATATATAAACCTGCCTTCTTAGGCTTATAGTAAACATATATAAACCTGCCTTCTTAGGCTCATATTAAATATATACGGGATAATGTTAGGAGAATAGACGTTGGGTGTTACAATACGTCAGCGATAGAAAGGTTTGATGCATTTAAAACATTAACGGCGCTATCATGATTAATTTCCTGTTATTATATGTATATGTATATCAACTTATAACTTATATTAGGAAAGCTTTATAATCATATGTGTTTGTTAAACCGTGAGTATGTTTTGGGCCTTGTTGGGGCGGACCATGGTTTTTGCTGGTACTGATACGGCTATAGTACGAATACACGGACAATAAACAACACACTTCTCTCTACACCAGTTGACGAAATCAACCTGCTATTGTTACTCTCACGGAGGCGTGTGGTCCAAAGCGGTCGTATATATACACGTGGCGTGGGGTGACTCAGGCCGCCTCAAAACAGCCAAATTTTAGACTAATTTTCCTTTAGTGGGCAGAGCACGATGTTGTTCAATCTGTCATTCTTTTTGATGCCGGTCACACCTGTCTGGGTTGCACGTGAGGTGACGTCATATATTCAGGTGCTCATTCCGTCGTTACTCACAGGAACACCTATGAAACGCACCACGTAAAATTCGTCTTTTTTTTTAGTGGTTTTTTATATATATTCTAATTAATAGTCTATTTCTGTAGTCGTGTTTCAACGTACAGACATATTATTTCAAATTACCGGTCAATAGTTTTTGTTTGTTTTTTCATACATCAATTTTAAGACAAGCTTTGCTGAGTAAGGTTATGGCGAACGATTGTCATGGCTTCGGTTGCCGTAATAAGTAAGTAGACTATACTTTCAATTACGCCTTATTAAGTCGCGTGGGGACCCGGCATGGCCAGGTGGTTAGGGCGCTCGACTCGTAATCTGAGGGTCGCGGGTTCGAATCCACGTCACACCAAACATGATCGCCCTTTCAGCCGTGAGGGCGTTATAAAGTGACGGTCAATCCCACTATTCGTTGGTAAAAGAGTAGTCCAAGAGTTGGCGGTGGGTGGTGATGACTAGCTGCCTTCCCTCGAGTCTTACACCGCTAAATTAGGGACGGCTAGCGCAGATAGCCCTCGTGTAGCTTTGCGCGAAATTCCAAACAAACAAACAATAAGTCGCGTGGATAACGGAGCAGACTCCCTTTAAGAAGACCCAGGATCGAATCCGGGTCACTACCAACACATAAGTTTAGAAATTTCGAATAAAACTAGTTAATAATGAGGGTCTCGTTATTAAAAAAACACCAATTAATAAATTATACTTAATTCATCACGTAGGCTACTAACTAACTATGACAAAATTTATTTTCAAAACATTTGTTCCAGACATGTTTAAAGTACTACAGGTATAATAGCTTCACGCGCGAATATGTGTTTGTGTGAACTAGAACAGGTGTTCCTAAGAGAGTAAAAGACACTAGCGTTGATGTTCGTTCATGCTTAACTGCACGTGAAAAAGGTAGATTATCCAATCAGATACACTTGAGGTTTACTAAATATGAAAGAACAAATAAAAAGAAAACAAAATGAATAATGCCTGAGTATTTATGAAAACATTTTTATTTATGTAACTGAAAATTAAAATCGTCTTCTGTTTTAATAAGACTCAGTACAAAGATGGTGGGAAGTTATTGCAACGTGTTGACTCATTATCTTTTGAATTTAGTAAAAAATATCCACTAGACTTTTTGTTAGAAAGTAGGACGTTTTATAGATAAATACCCCTAAAAGTTAATCTCTAATAAAAAAATACCCACTAGACGTTTTAAAAAATACCCACTAGACGTTTTGTTAGAAATAGGACGTTTTATAGATAAATACCCCTAAAAGTTAATCTCTAATAAAAAATACCCACTAGACTTTTTGTTAGAAATTAGGACGTTTTATAGATAAATACCCACAAAAGTTACTCTCTTATCAAAAATACCCACTAGACTTTTTGTTAGAAAGTAGGACGTTTTATAGATAAATACCCACAAAAGTTAATCTCTAATAAAAAATACCCACTAGACTTTTTGTTAGAAAATAGGATGTTTTATAGATAAATACCCACAAAAGTTAATACTTAATTAAATACTTCGGATTGTATTGAACCAGAGAATTTACTTCCTTTACTGAGGTAAACTAACATATTGAAGAATATTGTTATTTGAAGGAAAATTCCGCTCCGATCAAGTCTTCCCATCTCTACGTCTCGTGTTCGCTCTGAGCTTATTCTTTGTTATCTTTGCTTTGTTATCATTTCGACAATTATATTTAATTACATATACGTATAATATTGTGGTATGAGGAAGAGAAACAAGAGGGAATCCTCAATAGCCGCGGCATCTGAAATTCGTTTACGCAGAATTAGAGTAAATTAATCAATGAGACCTTTTTTTCCTTTCTATTAGCTATATTTTTGTGCGCCACCAATACCAACCGTGAGGTTCGCGTATACCTGATTCAGTTTTATTACTCATCAGGATCCCTACCAGCCTACCCTCAAATTGAAATTACTTTAGGCAGGATTAGAGTAAATTAATCTATGAGACCTTGGGCGTGGTAAAATACGTCAATCGAAAGGGTTTGACCTTCTGAGTCCAAAACTGTGATTAGATCTCAAATAGGTCAAGAGACGCCGGAGCTATGAGCTAAAAGTCTGTACATGATTAAAAAAAAAATTCAGAGCCATTCTATGAGCCGCTATGCCGCGACTAAAAATTATACTAATTTTAAAATTATTATTAATTTTTTTAAATATATATATATAGATAGCATGCACAAAGTCCTTTAGAAAAACCATCTGTGTGATGAAAATGTTGACAAAACTATCAAATGGTCATCCATCTAAATCTATTCTCAACTGGTGAGTTGTCTTGCAATAATGAGTCTCTTTTAAACTGTAAATGGCAACTCAAACAATGGAAATATAACTATTAATGGTGAGTGGGATTTCAGTTAACAGTTATGTTTTATCTTGTGTTCAGTCGCCATTCTGGTTTCCACGATGTGCTATATTTAGTATAACCTACTTTCTAAATTAACCATTTTCAAAACAAATATAAGCCCAATCAGGCATTCTATTCCCAACTTGCCTCTGAGTTAAATCAGTTTCGGTAAATACCACCCCTCATATGTAAACCTGGACAATGGTAAATCGGGAAAACAAGGTCAGACTTCTTGCAGTAGTAGACTGTGTAGTACAGAGCGTTGAGTACATTATATTAAAACGATTCTGAGTATATAACTCAGTAGGTCACGAGACAACCACAACCGATATAAAGTCGCGGTAGAACGGCATGTATCAGAACTACGATTTTACTATATTTTTATCCCTCGTACTTAATGATATTGGAAAACAAAGGAATATGGTTCAGCTTTGGGCACCAGCGCCATCCAGAGAGAGACTTACAACAAGCCGTGCCTCAGTCGTTGTAAGAAAACTACGACATCCTGTAACTGGTTACACTCCGCGAACACAAAGGTCAGTGGCAAAAGTAAGGACAGGGAAGTACGCTTAATTGATTATGGAACTTTATCAGGGAGAAGTGGTGTGCTTTGGACATGACAGTCTTACGACGGATCCTATTGCAGTAGAAGCTAGGGCTATTGTCAAGATGCACGGTCGTCAGATAGAGCATGACTGTAAGTGGCAACATGGACTGTAATGGTGTGATGAGTCTAAAGAATAGTTTTATTATAACGCGGTATGGCCAGATGGTTAGGGCGCTTAACTCGCAATCTGAGGGTCGTGGGTTCGAATCCCCGTCCCACCAAACATGCTCGCCCTTTCAGCCGTAAGGGCCTTATAATGTGACGGCCAATCCCACTATTAGTTGTTAAAAGAGTAGCCCAAGAGTTGGCGGTGGGTGGTGATGACTAGCTGCCTTCCCTCTAGTCTTTCACTGTCAAATTAGGGACAGCTAGCGCAAATAGCCCTAGTGTAGCTTTGCGCGAAATTCAAAACAAACAAACCAATTTTTGAAGTAGCGATCAGAAGAAAGGCAGCATCCTACCATACATTCTAAGGGACTGACTAACACTCTTATAACACACTCACTGCTTAAAGTTCGGGGAATGCTTTGTGGTTATCGCACAGATTCGGACCCGGCTCCGAACTCCAGAGCTATACCACAGGGCCAACCTGTCATATTTAATACAAGATATATAACCTCGTTACGCGGGTCGCTGAAACAGTTAGAATTTGTAAGATATAATATTCGTAGGTGTATTTATTAATTATTTTTTTTATTTAATCTTCGCGCGTTAATTGAAACAAGTTATGAATATTTAATGTAAACATTTTCAATGCTTTTGAGCGAACACTTTGCTACAGAAATAGTAAATAAGCTCAGTTCACCGGAGCATTGCAAAAACATTATTCGAAATACTTATTGTAGATAGCAAACAGAGAATCATTATACGAGCCTATTACACCGATATTTTGAATTTTCGGAGTTACACATCTCTCAAGGGAAAAGTGTCACTGAAATAAAAAAAGAGTAAAGGAAGAACCTTAATGCTCACGTGCATAACAGGGAAATAACTGAAATCTTGAGGGCTTTAAAGCGTTGAAGTTCGAGGTTCGATCCCTGCGTTGGGCACAGTTTGGGGGACCTTTGTTCAGCGAAATAAAAGAGTACAAGAAGAACCTTAATGCTCACGTGCATAACAGGGAAACAACTGAAATCTTGAGGGCTTTTAAAGCGTTGAAGTTCGAGGTTCGATCCCTGCGTTGGGCACAGTTTGGGGGACCTTTGTTCAGCGAAATAAAAGAGTACAAGAAGAACCTTAATGCTTACGCGCATAATAGAGAAACAACTGAAAACTCGAGGGGGGTGGACTTTATAACGTTTAAATTTGAGGTTCGATCTCTGCGTTAGGCACGGCTCGGGTAACCCTGTGCTCAGCCTTGTGTCAAATGTCACTACAGGTACTTCAGTTTAGACCTGCAACGATATTTAGTTTTAGATTTCTTGCGTCTGTCAGTGAAAAAAATGATTATCAAAAATCATTACAGATCTTATTTTCATGTGTCTCTAATCTGAAACGGATCACAGCTTTCAACTTCTGTCGTTATAAACTATACAAAAAAATAAATTGTAATTTTTGTTACGACAGCCTAAACAGAACTGCAAATAACTCAGTTTCACGGAACATATTCCGACTTTTTACCATGAAATAAGACGGAAAAAATACTTTCTTATGGCCACCGTTTAGTCCACCCATATAGAATCTGGACAAAACTGTGGTTATAACATGTAGAGAATCTAAACAGAACTGTAACGATAAGTCGTAGACAAGGTGGACTAAACGGTGGCCATAAGACATATAGAATCTGGACAAAACTGTGGTTATAACATGTAGAGAATCTAAACAGAACTGTAACGATAAGTCGTAGACAAGGTGGACTAAACGGTGGCCATAAGACATATAGAATCTGGACAAAACTGTGGTTATAACATGTAGAATCTAAACATAACTGTAACGATAAGTCACAGACAAGGTGGACAAAACGGTGGCGATAAGACAGAGAATCTGGACAAAACTGTGGTTATAACATGTAGAGAATCTAAACAGAACTGTAACGATAAGTCATAGACAATCTTATGGCCACCGTTTAGTCCACCTGAAGATAATTTTGACAAAAATGTGGTGATCAGACGAAGAGAATGAAAAAATAGAATATCTCACGATTATTCTACAGTTAGGGAATAGGGTGTACGACAATTATTATAAGGCTAGCGAGTATGGTGTACGACAAATATTGTACTGCTAGCGAGTATGGTGTACGACAAATATTGTACAACTAGCGAGTATGGTGTACGACAAATATTGTACTGCTAGCGAGTATGGTATATGACAGTTATTGTACTCTAGAGAGTATGGTGTACGACAATTATTGTACAGCTAGCGATTATGGTGTACGACAAATATTGTACAGCTAGCGAGTATGGTGTACGACAATTATTGTACAGCTAGCGAGTATGGTGTACGACAAATATTGTACAGCTAGCGAGTATGGTGTACGACAAATATTGTACAACTAGCGAGTATGGTGTACGACAAATATTGTACAACTAGCGAGTATGGTGTACGACAATTATTGTACAACTAGCGAGTATGATGTACGACAATTATTGTACAACTAGCGAGTATGGTGTACGATAAATATTGTACTGCTAGCGAGTATGGTGTACGACAGTTATTGTACTCTAG